GGTGGGCAGGGGGTCATTACCCTAAAACTCTAGCCTCCTAGACTCCATGGTTCCCGAGATATTAACTTATCCGTAAAAAACTTTCACAGGGCCGTACGCGTTACCCACGGGCACGGGGAAGCTGAATTTAAATTTCCGGGGTCACACGTGGGTGGGGAACGTTACCCTAAATTTTCAGTTTCCTAGCTTTTGTGGTTCCCGAGTTGAAAGTTGCGGACAAGTTGCTGCGGGAAACGTTACCCTAAATTTCCAGCTTCCTAGCTTTTGTGGTTCCCGAGTTGAAAGTTGCGGACAAGTTGCTGCGGACACAAACGCATACAAACACACACACAGACAACCTCGTAACAATATGCGTTTTGTACTGCTGTTACACAGCACAAAACGCATAATAACTGGATGAACAGTAACGTTTCAATCCATTAATTCATATAGGCATGATTGCTTTGCGTTTTCCGAAATCCATAAAGCATTTTTAATGGGATTTGGAAAGTGGAACAGACACGAATTCGCACTGTCTAAATTTACAATTTGAAAGTCGATAATGGTAAACGATTTGTAAAATGCAGCGCTACGGCTGTGAAAATTGATCTAGGATGCTCCCCTCTCCCTCTTTATCGCATCTCAGCCACTCCTCTAAAGACTAGAATTTCAAGAACACAAAGAGTTTAGCAAAGAAAAAGGTAAGGGAGAAAAGCGGTCAGAAAGAACCGGTGAAAGGGCAACGCCTAAAACAGCAGAACATTTAAGCGGCAAGGCATTTTAGGCAGTGAAGGTAACGGCCATAGAAAAGCAAGTGCTCTCAAGCCCAATATGCGAGTAGTAAGCCCCACCTGCTATCTCAATTCTTCCTCCCCGACCCTCTTAAGCCCGTACATGAGACCAGTCAACCGGGCCGATATCGATAATTACGATTACATGTGATCGGTATAGCAAGATCTGCTGCTCTGAAGTTTTAAGGGAAAAAAGCTTCTTATGCGAGGCCTAAATAAAACAATGCACGATTTTATCTTTCAGGCCTTATAATATCAAAGTGGCGGATGTGGACAGAAGCTGGCAAGATGGGGTTGCTTTCAATGTCCTAATACATCGCGTCATGCCAGACTTGGTTGATATGGACAAAACACGGCGGAGTTCTCCACGAGACAACTTGGAACAGGTCCAGTAAGCACATGGGTTGTTGTAGGTATTTAAGATCAGCGTTTTAAAGGGACCCTTTTTTTTGGGGCATGAATCAAGTTGATACAGGAATTGTTGGAATGCAGGAAGCAATCGCCCACTACTTTGAAATCCCTACAGCTCAAAAAAAACCACACTTTTTTTAGACCGAAAGGTCACGAAAACGACGAGTGCACCTTCGTTAAAAAAGTGTGCTGGCTCCGTTCATTCTTGTTAACGTACCTTACTCGCCAAGGCCATACTGACTGTAGCCAGGCCCGAAAGAAAAGGGAGGAGGAGGTAAACATAAGAAAGTGTGCAAAACTGACCAAAGCTATCAGAAGAAATGAATGGAACGAACTTTTGGGCGGCTGTTGCGGGCTGCTGTCCAATTTCAGGTCGTTCGCATAAGACATGTACAGTGTGTTGGCACGTTCAAATGCGCAACCGGACGTGATGCGTCCATCCGGCTCCATGTCCCACATATCTTCAGCTGTCTTCCACAGCACACCACCAATCTGCAATTTTGCAGAATAACCCCTTGAGGATACCCAATGAAATCTAAAGGCATCATAACTGCAGTACATGACCAATACTCCTAGCATGCTGCTTGTGTTTACGCGCGTCGCTCCATTCCAAGACAAAATTCCGGGGCAATATCGTAGCTATCGCAACGAATTCATCGAGCACACACTTACATTATGCTCTTTGACGGCATCACGAATGCACGGGCGTTTTTTCTCAGCAACAACAACTCGTCTCAGCTCATGCAGGGTCGGTTGTGAGCCGGCCTCCTTCTCGTACGGACGCTGATACTCGTCCAGTTCGTCATCTAAAAAACCAGCAGCAGCTGCAGAATGCCTGTGCTCACAGAAAGTGAGTTAACACCAACTTCTTTACATTCCGTTCTCTACGAAAAGTGCAATCGCACACACACATCAGAACTCTATGAACAGCAGCCAAATGTAGGAAGGAGTGTTGATGGATCCCTTTGGAAAGGCAATGTCCAAAAAAGTGTGTGTTTCTTCATTCTTTGATTAAGACTGGCTGTTAACGCAATCTTCAAAAATGTCTTTGCAAAGAGAACTTCCAAAAAAGCTGATGTATTTACCTCGACCCATTGCGGTTCGCGATAAAACTTCCCATAGCACAAGCGCTGCCGCATAAACATCAATCTGACGGAAGGCAAATGCAGTGAACTCGGTAGCTCCCTCCAACACTTCTGGCGACATGTAACGACGTGTGCCAACCTGAAAGATCACGCTTTCCCCATATTCTGAAAACTTTCCGCTCGCAAATTTTCATTCCTATCGTCCTCAGAAACATACCATTAATCTATATGCCGGGAACAAAACACAACTAATAGTGTTTATGCGAAGCGAAATATATGCAGTGAAAGTCTGTTTCTCCCGACCCTCATAACAGCACACAATCGTATGAAAACTATAAAACTGAACAGAGAAATAAAGGAAAACCTGTCCGTGGCTCTTTTCAGAAGGCATTTGTCCATTTTCACATTTCAAAGCTAAACCAAAATCGGCAATCACAGATGTTAAATCGGGTTTCAGAAGCACGTTACGTGACTTGAAATCCCTGAAACACAACGAACGAATGCTTCGATTAGAATAAAAGCGCTGCTCAAATTTGCAAAAGCCAGTGACGGAAAAAACAGTAGATCCCTTTGGACTAGCCTAAAAACAGTATGTAGTAATACGTAACTGAGGCGAAGTCCGCAGTTATCAGAGCCAGGGGACAGGCACAGGCTCACCCGCACTACTTAACTTCTGCACAAAGTGAAAGATTATAAAAACGGAGATAAAACCCTGCAATTCTTTTGCTCCGAGATAAACCTACTGGCATATTTAAGACAAAATCTAGATCATTTCGATGTTCGAATTTAGCAAAAAATAACAAATATGAAAGATAACCGAATTTTGTTGCATCTAGCTAAAACTTTAATCTCTTTGCCGAAAGGCAACTCATCTCTTCCTCTCCCTAACTTCACTCCCAATTGCTAAAAGATGCTTTTTAATGTTAAAATCGGCACTCCCCTTCCCCGCAGCAAAATTTTTATGCGTTTTTGCTGCTACAGCCAGCGCTGCTACAGTCAGCAAAAACGCATCTTGTCGAGAGGCTGTCTGTGTGTGTGTGTGTGTTCGCAATGCGAGTGCATTTTGTCACCCACTTTC